CCACGAATCTGGCAACCTCCGCTGTTAGTTTGCTGCCGCAGTCCTTTCCAAGCTTCATCAAGTACGAACGAATCCCGGGAGAGGTTCCAAGCCATATGAACATTCCTGAGTTGGGCCTATTGAATCCAGCCAATGCCTACGAGAACAAACGTCAGCTTTCCGTTGCTGGAGACATCCTCCAGAACTCATTTGATCGTTTGAATGGCATCGTCACTGGGAGCGCTGCGAGTGGAGTGCGGCCACTATTTGCCCCTGCTTCTGCCGCACCTGCTTCTGCCGCACCTGCTTCTACCAGCCCTGCTGCTGCCGCCCCACTATTCGGAACTGCTTCGTCCAGCTCGGCAGCCCGCTCCGGCGGTCCAATCCAGGCTTTGCTGAATAACGAAAGAACGGGTGGCGGACCTCTCGGTGGTGCCTTTGGTGGGATCTTTAACAATCCTTTGCTGCAGACTGCAGAAGGAGGTAGCGGGCTCGTCCAAAATATTGGTCAGGGCCTCGGCCAAGGGTTGCTGGAGCCAGTCTTCTCCATAGCCAATGGCTCCGGTGCTGGAGGCATTGTTAGAGGAATCCTCGACCGTGCTGCCAGACTCACTTCTCCTGCTGGAGAGTCCGCAACCTAGTCATGTTTTCAACCCCGACCCCGCTATGATAGGTCTAGATTTCATGTGTTCCTTCTCTGGGGGTGGACGGTCGCGTTCTATCGCCATGCGTTGTTCACTCCACTCCGCCGCACCACTCAACATGTCATCGATCCTAGGCATCCTGATCCTGAACATCATTTTGTAAGTACCTCCGTAGTGCCTTAGAGAAATCTTCGCTTCACAGTTGCCGCATGATTACTTGTCGTTTGGTAATAGAGTCGCCAGACCCTAGTTGGGACCCTCTTAGAACCTCCTTCTGCGCGTTTAGCACCCTCATGGCCCGTGCACATTCCCTATTCTGCTGTTTTCATCAGGCAGCGGTTCAGGGCCGGCACCATTCTGCCCACTTTGTGCCTATCGCTTCGGTGAATCTACGAATCCTGGTGAAGCACAAATCCTGTCGATTGATGAACTGCGGTACCTTTGTTCAACGTTATTGTACAAACATGCGCACCGGTATCGTACCAACACGCGCGCGATAGCACACGCGTTCATCCCGGCCGAAAACAGCGACAAGTGTTTGAACGGATATGAGGAGCCTGAATGTTGCACTGCTCATCTTACTCGGCGTGGCAAGTGCCTCTGGGAACGAAGGGCCTGGAAGCTTCAGTGTCCCGCTACATGGTTCCCAGTATTCCGCGTTTGAGAAGCCCGACCCTGACCGGGATTTCGGCAACCTCGCTCTTGAAATCTTGCCGACAGATCCTGACCATAAAGATATTCCACGCGAAGACCCTGTTGACCCCAACTTCGACCCCGACTCAGATGATCAAAGCGCTGTGGTCAAAGATATAGTAGGTGTCAAGGGAGAGGACGGAGAGGAGGATGGCGAGTTCAAACTAGAGGAGACGGATGGCGAAGAAACTCGATCCCAGACATCGTCGGGCTCCTTTCTTGGCATCTTGAACCCCATGGAAGCAAAATCTGCCCTGACCGATTTCTGGAGCGAGATTCAAGGTCAAACACGTGAGTTTACTCGGAACATAACACCGTCTATGCAAACATTTGCAAGGAGGATGCAAGCGGCTGGATTCCCGGCTCCACTGGTGCACGGCTTCCGGGAAATTGAACTCCCGACCGGCTCTTTACTCCCACCCTTCGTTCCGGACATTCCTATCGCTGGTCCACTCAACCCCGCCACTTGGTCACAGGAGCAGATCAACGCCATACTGAATCCCCAGCTGCTGAACTTAATGAACCCCAACACAGCTGCCAACACAGTCACCGAAATCCCAGGCCTTGGACGTTTCTCCATCGCCATCCCGCCTGTCAACGTCGAGTTCCCCTGGGCCGGAGCGGTAGCTAGTGGTACTACGAATCTGGCAACCTCCGCTGTTAGTTTGCTGCCACAGTCCTTTCCAAGCTTCATCAAGTACGAACGAATCCCGGGAGACGCTCCAAGCCATATGAACATTCCTGAGTTGGGCCTACTCAATCCAGCCAATGCCTACGAGAACAAACGTCAGCTTTCCGTTGCTGGAGACATCCTCCAGAACTCATTTGATCGTTTGAATGGCATCGTCACTGGGAGCGCTGCCAGTGGAATGCGGCCACTATTTGCCCCTGTTTCTGCCGCACCTGCTTCTGCCGCACCTGCTTCTGCCGCACCTGCTTCTGCCGCACCTGCTTCTGCCGCACCTGCTTCTACCGGTGGATTATTCGGAACTGGCTCGTCCAGCCCGGCTTCTGCTTCTGCTCCCGCCGGCCCGATCCAGGCCTTCCTGGGTAATGCGGGTGGTGGGCCTTTCGCTGGCACGTTCGGAGGCGCCTTGGATAAACTGTTTAACAGT